AACAATAGAAGTAGTTTTTATTTTATTTTATTTTAAAAAAGAAAACGAAACTTCTCTGTTTTAATTTATTGAACTAAAGCCAGATTTACTCAATTAAGATAATACACTTCAAGGTTAACTATCGTTTGCTGTTAGTTGCATAACCTATTGTGTGATTATGTAAATTCCAGGAACAGAACACTACCCGAGTGTCTTAATTACAGGCAAAAGAGAGAGAGAGAGTCATTTAAATATGAATAAGTGAATTGTTGCTTGTATTTCCTGCTCACTATTTCCTAACGCTTTAAAGCTCAGTAACAAACTGGTTGTCTGCATTGCTTCCAATCCGTCTTTCCCTGGGTAAATACATCTATCTCAGGGTACTTTTTTAAAAAGAACGAAAGGAAGGAAGCAAGCAAGCAAGAAAGAAAGCAGACTACTACCTTTGGCAGCTTTGCTAAATAATTAGTCGCAAACTAGAGACTATAGACGACACCCGATAGTTCAGTATACTTTGTATGGTAGTTTTAAAACAAATTCTGGAATTCATATATGTATATTTAAAAATGAATCTGTATTTACTAACTTTGTTAAGTGGCTTTGGCACTTCTAAGCAAATGCAGGAATGTTCAGGGCTGCAAGAGGTGTACTTGAAATGCATAATTAACCTATTTATTTATTGCATTTATATACCACCTTTTCCTCCAAGGAGCTTTCGGAGAAAAGTCAAAGTTGTTGAACTTTTCGTAGAGCAGCTGCTGGTTTCAGGAACAGGAAGTGAGTAGCTCTGCCCCCCTGCAGCGCCCAAGACAACAAGGAACCACCATGCCACCCAAAAGCTCCCCTGCCACCTGGAATCCCGACGCACAGCAGCCACCGCACTACAGATCCCCATGGTGCCCTGCGGAAGGCCCCCCCCCCCCCGTGGACCACCCGGCCCTGGCTAGCTACGCTACTGTGAGCTTCATGGCTGAGTGTGGATTTGAACTCTGGTCTCCCAGTCTTAGCCACTATAACTTTAACCATTTTAACCACTGCCTATGAGATTCACTGCTTTTTTTTTTTTTAAGGATTAGGGCAAATTAATGGTGTATCCTGTCAACAGCTATTGGCCTTGGAACCTCCATGTACATAGGTAGTATACCTCCAAACAGCAGATGGAGGGATAAATGACGAGGAAAGCGTATTGCCTGCATGTCTTGCTTGTGTTCTTCCTGGAGACATCTGACTGGCCACTGCCTGTCTGAAGTCACTGTTTGGGTGTAGATAGCCCCACAGTGGCCCAATTCAGCAGAGCACTTGTGTTCTTCCTGCCAAGTAAGTATGTTGAGAATTGCAGTCTGTGCGGTGAATACTTAGGATGCAATACAATGCAATGTGATGCCTGCTACAGTAGCACCGAGTTTGGGCAGTTCCCTCGCACAGGGTGCAGAGCCAAAGGGGTGCAAAATAATAATAATAATAATAATAATAATAATAATAATAATAATAATAGAGAAGATCCATTCAAAAGCAACCTTTTAATGAATTATTGTGAAAAAAAAGGGTTTTTTTGGGGGGGGAGGCAATTTTTGTCCTCACTCGGGGCACCATATTACCAAATTTTACTCCTGGCTACATATTGCCATCAATGTGGCTGATCCAGTATTATTATTATTATTATTATTATTATTATTACAGAGGAGAATTTTCCACTGGATCTCCTGATTTTATGCTGGCAGTGTGTGGATCTTTTGTCTGAGTTGTGTTCAGTATCTCACTCCTCCCCTCAGCTAGACTTGTTGATTCTACAATATGAGGATTTTAACACTTAGCTTACAGTAGCTTACAGGGTCATGGCGAAGGTTACTGACGATAATGCATGTTCAGATGCATTTATCTGAACACACAGATAAGTGCTTCATAACTTTAGTCATTAGTCATCATTACTTGCAGCCTTGATTACCCAGATTCCCTTCCTCTTTTTTTCTTTAGCCTTCTCTCTGTGTGTGTGCGCGTATCACCCCTAAGTAGAAAGATCCATAAGGGAAATGAGACCCTGTTCTGTTATCTTTTGATCTGCGTTTTTATTTTTGTGCCCCATGCTGTTGATTTGAGTTGCCCTTCCCCTTGCCCTCCTTGTTTTATTGAATTTGTGTGTGTGTGGCTAGAAGCGATCTCTGGGGAGAAAAACCTGTTATTAACTGTGCAGATTAACAAGGGGGTGCCTATTTGGATAATAAAGAACATGCCTCAGTACTGCGGTCCAAAGAGCTCACGGCAGTTCTCTCTGTGCTCGCAGGAGCCCTTGAAGGAAAATTCCCATCCTTCAGTGATGTGGCTGCTCCTCTCCCCTAGGAGCGACACGCTCACTATTCACTCTGGGCTTGCCTCATCCTTTCCAACATGTTCCCACTGATACATTAAAGGAATTAATTGCTCATAATGATCTCACCATCTGTTAACAGAGGTTCATACCTACAGGCTGGTGGCATGCGGTGGTCCCATTCAGCGCTCAATAGGCAATGCTGGGGGAACCGTTTCCCACATTGCCTTCCATAGCGGGTCTGAAAAGGGGAGGAGAGCTCCGGGTTGGCCATCTGCTCCTTGTCTTTCTGTGAGAGACCTTGATGCCGTCCAGCACAGCTCTGATCTGACTCCAATCTGATTGGAATGTGGCTGATCTGAGAGCCTCTCAAAGCTGTGAAACTGAGTCAAAAGGAGATCCCCATTGTCTCCAGCCGCTGAAAGAAAATGATCACTTTAAAATTCATAACTCCCAGGTGCCTGCCATCTATTCATGTGGGGTGGGGGGAGAGAAACTCTCTGAACTTCTCTTCATTAAAAGAAGAGAGAAGGAGGGAGGGAACAAGGAGGGAGTTTGATTTTGGAAAAAAGATGGGGGGGACAGAGAAAAGGAAGTAGTTCGTGGGAATGTGTACAGGATTTTAGGCTAAACAAATGAGGAATTTGGAGTTCCTTTAAAAGAGAGCGAGAGAGAGAGAGAGAGAGAGAGAGAGAAGGAAAGGGATGCATTTATAAAAGCAATGCATTTGCAATGGGGATCCTTTATGCCCTTTTAAAATGTGGTTCTTTTTTGGGGAGGTTGTTAATTAGGTTGTTTTTATTTTGATTATATATATTGCAGTTTTATATTTTGATTTTGTTATGTGAAGCACCCTGAGACCTCCAGATATAGGGTGGTATATAAATTCAAACAATCAATCAAATCAATCAATCAATCAATCAATCAATATCAGGGTACTGTATTGAAGGCCCTTTCCTGGCGCAATGAAGCAAAATGAAACACATTCCTCCTTTAAATACAACAACTGTGAAGTACATCATACTCTCACTTTTCAGGGATAGACAAACCTATTATCTCTTTTTTTAAATACTAAACTTGTTTTCATACTTCCTTAATGAAAGGTGTGAGCTCTGGCATGTGGTATGTTCACTGAGGTGGGATCCAAAATTCTTATCCTCCAAATTCTTTCTCAGGTGAAGTAATTCCAATTTACCTTGTCTTAGCTGCACAGAAGAACCGATAGTTTACTTTCTGCCATTTTTCTGGGTTGGATTTCCAGAACTGGCAACAGTCATGTTGTATGTGCTATATTTGTTCTTGTTGCACCTTCTAATTCTTTCATTCAGTGAGGTTTGAAGACGATGCTGGATCGCCATTTGTCAGAAATACAGAGCACCACTTTCCGGCACTAGCAAGAGTTGGGCTAGATGTCCCGTGAGTTCTATTCCAACTCTATGGTTCTATGCATAGCAGAGGACTGCAGTGTAACTGCCAATTCCATTTAGCCTTTTGGCCTGTGTCAAGACTTTGGCACTCTGTATTTTTATCTGTGCTGCCTTGGGCTAACCTACCTGGTCAGGTGCATGCTGATGCTGCATGCTGAAGTCAGCTCTGTTCAGCTTTTTGACATCTAATAGCGCATGAGGATGGTCCTCCAAGTGGTCTTGGCAGTTGAAACAGCTGGACCATGGCAGTAGTAAAATAAGGCTTTGTTGTTGTCACAGTTGCCTGAATGCTGGTAGCTGTTAGAATTCCTGCTCCGTGATTGCAGTCATGAGATTTTTGTCTATCACATGATGGTGTATATTTTGACTCCACAGAGTGGGAAGTGACGGAGACAGGATGTTTGTGTTACTACATGACACCAGTCAAGCTTGCAAAAATTTACCATTTGCCCGAAAATAAATGTTGGAAATGTAATGAGACTGAAGGCGCATTCTTTCACCTTTGGTGGACATGCCCAAAGATTAAGACATTCTGGGAGATGATTTATAATGAAATGAAAAAGGTATTTAAATATACCTTTCTGAGGAAACCAGAGGCCTTTCTTCTGGGCATGGTTGGCCAACTGGTGCCAAAGAAGGATAGAACTTTTTTTATGTATGCTACAACAGCAGCAAGAATACTCATCGCGAAGTATTGGAAGACACAAGACTTACCCACCCGGGAAGAATGGCAGATGAAGTTGATGGACTACATGGAATTGGCGGAAATGACTGGCAGAATCCGAGACCAGGGAGAAGAGTCGGTGGAAGAAGATTGGAAAAAGTTTAAAGACTATTTACAGAAATATTGTAAAATTAATGAATGTTAGGAAAATGTTGGAATGACGTTATATGGCTTCAGTAGAAATGTTATAAGGAATTAAGTATAAATAGATTAATAAGGAATTAAAGGGAAAAATAAGGTTAAAATGTGTTATGATAATTATAGGATGGAAAGCAGAGGAAGATGGAAAGGAATTGCTGAAATAACTAAATAGAAGTGGAATACAAAAAGGGAGGTGTGAGGAGGTCATGGAAACAGGTGAATGAAAGATTGAAATTATCTGATGTGTTTTAAATTATTTCTGTCTTGTTTTCTTAGTTTAAATTGTTTTTGTTTTGTTTTCTTAGTTTAAATTGTTTTTGTTAGTTTAGTGTTAGGTATTGTTTTTGTATTGTATTGTTTATTTTCTTTTCCTATGTATGTTCAATTTGTTGGAAAGTAATAAATATTATTTAAAAAAAGAAAGAAAGGATGTTTGTGTTACTATGTTCCATGAAGTGGGACTATTGTCCTTTGTTTTGTTTTTTCTCTTTGCTATCTGGTGCTAGAGAGAGAGGGAGCCATGTTGCAGTGCTCCGTGTGTGTTAATATGTAAATAAAGTAGATTAGCCAAAATGCTGAGTTGCTGAGGTCTGTTATGCAAGTTGCGAAGACTCTGCAGCTCCCTAAGTGTGCCGATGTCTGTTGGCATTGGTCACTGTGATGTTCGGGCAGAAGAAAGCTTTTGAAGCTCCCGAATGATCAACCGGGAGGGAGAGAACATGCCAGTCGGGCATGTGTCTCTGCCAGAGTCCTACTCAAGTGGAGGCTTAGCTCCTGACAGTAGTTCCTTTAGCAAGCAACTTGTCCATGCAGTTGTACTTTATGCAGTCACCCACATGGCTGTTTGAATGTGTATATAAGACCTTAGAATAGGTTAGAATAAACACATGCCAGGAACAGTTTTAGATATTGCAAGACCCGCCATTTGGGGCATGTACTAGTTAGCATCTCCTGACCCTTCCAGTAGTACAATTCTGCACTCCTAAAATTCTTTATGCTGCTTTTCTTTATTAGCATATGCTTCAATCACACTCGCTGCATCTCATCAGTCATAAATTTCTCCATCTTTGCATTTGTATTCACCAGGCCAAACAGTACTCTCACAATAAGCAGAGTCAGTATATTTGCATAATCATCCCTGGCAAATACTGGAAGGATCTGACCTCTCTTGCCCCTGATAATTTCAAAAGGTTAATGTCAAATTAACATTTAGCAAATCCACACAGAATAATGATGTTAAATGGAAATGGTTAAATACACAGAATTCAGGAAGTGTGCGCAACTTACCTAAGTACTGTCCTTCTGCCTGATCTATATGGCCTTTTCTGATTGTGACTTAGAATCCTCTCCTTCCTGTGATACATATGGAGACAGTCTTTCCTATTCCTTGCATATTTCTATATTCTTATTAGGAATCAGTTATTAAAGAAGAATAATTTAATAACTGTTGATCAATTATTAAAGAATTTCTAGTTGATGATCATCAACCTTTTAAATCAATTAATTGATCCATTACATTTTCATTTCACCAAAACCTCGATATAAGTGACTTTTTTTTTCAGGTGCCGAGGAGATATTAGTTACAAAACAAAAGCTACACCTTACCCTTAGAAGGAGAGCCCATTTGTAATATTCTTTTTTTAAAAACAACAGGAGCGCAGAGAGAAGAAACAGGAGCACAGACAGAAGAAAAGCCATGGTGCATCTCAAACAGCAAAACCAGACACCTTCATCTGCCCCAACGGCAATAAAAACACGTCTCTCCCGTATTGGTCTCTACAGCCACAGCAGGAACAGCAACCCTTTAATAGTTTGACTTTGCCCTCACTCTTCAATTGTCACCCGAGACAGATGGATGACAACAACAACAACAGGAGTAGCAAACTGGAAACAGAATAGCTGTTCCTTTAGCTTACAACCCCATTAAATATGGTCCCACGGTAGTCAAATAGCAACCCAATCCTATGTAGAATTAGGGGCACCTGTACTCATTGAAATGAATGCGTTAAGTCATTTGTATTTTACTGGTGGGTCAGACCCCCTTGCGAGTTGGGGTCTGATGCAAGGTGAGTCGCAACAGGAGCGAGGGGTGGCACATCCCATTTTGCCATGTGAGGTAAAATGAGAAGTGACGCCCCACTCTGTCGCACCACCTGCCCCACTGCTGGCACTGCTGCCAGGCCACCTACCTCTCCCCCCCCGTACTTCTGGCCAATCAGCATTGCCACCACACCGACACCAGCATTGGTGCTGATGTACAGCAAGATCTTGCAAGATCTCCTCGAATTCTCATGAAGTCTCACAGAGCATGAGATCTTGTGAGATTTCAGAATTGTTGTTGCTGTTGTTGTTGTTGCCCAGCCCATCTGACTGGGTTGCCACAGCCACTCTAGGTGGCTTCCAACATAAATAAAAACATAATAAAGAATTAAACATTAAAAAAAAAACTTCCCTATACAGGACTGCCTTCAGATATCTTCTAAAAGTTTTATAGTTACGCCGGCTCCCTTGGTCTGAAGTGAAATGAGTGCTGCACTCCATAGTCGCCTTTGACTGGACTTAACCGTCCAGGGGTCCTTTACTTTCACCTTTATAGTTACTTATCTCCTTGGCTCAGGGGTTCGCATAACTCCATACCCTCCAACATTTATCCGATGAAAATTGGGATGTCCTATGGAAAAGCAGGATTGTAATGCTCTGTGCTAGATAATGTGGGCTTTTTAATTGCATTTTTATAGAGATGCTGCAGACCAACTGCATGAAGGTCATAGACCATTGGTAGTCCTGGATTGTTTACGTTTTAGTATTATTATTGTTCTGACTTTCATTGGTATGACATTAAGGCTTCATACACACTATACATTTAAAGCACATGGCTTCCTCCAAAGAATCACAGGAATTGTAATTTAATCAAGCTATAGTTCCTGGCACCCTTACCAAACTACAGTTCCCAGAGTTCTTTGGAGGAAGTCATGTGCTTTAAATGTACAGCGCGTACACAGCAGCATATAATACATAACACACTGTTCGACCTTTTTTGTGTTTATCAGCCACTCCAGTACCCAACATCTACACAGAGCAATTATTACTTCCCCTAATCCTCATTTCTGTTTTATTATGAATCCAACTTATATTTCCCCATCCTTGGTTAGAATAATGCAGCACTGAATAACAATGTAATTATTGGGGTGGTGGTTTTTTCACATTTACACTCTGTTTTTCACCCCTCTGCTTCTCTGTCCGAGTTCAAAACAACTGAAACGTCATTTTTCCTAATTAGTTTGAGTTTTGCATTATTCTTCTATCACGAAAGACAACGAGGAAATCATCAAGAAGGCCTCATAAGGGGCCCTAACATTTGCACTGGTCAGAAATTTTCAATTAGCACTGCCTTAGAAAACACAGTTGCTCAGCTTTTGTCCCGTGTGCTGCTGAAGAATAAGAAGAGCAAATAGATTGGGCAAAGTCTGCAGCTCAGGCTGCTTGGGAAAATGTAACAGGTGTTATAGCTCAGCTGGGTATGAACTGCATAAAAAAGGACCACTCAGGCTCTACCCATAGAAATCCCTTTTCTAACCAGAGCTTCAAGTAGGAAGAAACTAATGACTTCATTACCATCTCAATTCTGGGAAATGCTTAGTCCAGACCTGAATCATTAAAGGAAAGGTATAGCACTCTGTGTGACCTTACAAGATCAAAATGTTATTTAGAGCAATTCCATTAGTCAAGGCTATAAACCTGAAAGAACACACCCTTTTTGCACTAGCACTTTAGACCATAAAATAGGGGTGGCGGGGGACTGGGGAACCAACAGAAATAGGGCAAGGAAGAAGAAAAACATATTCAACACTCATTGTGCTCCATGATTTCCTTTGCTGTCTTTGAAGCGTCCGTCTGCTCCCACTAATACTTCTTCCCTTCATTCTCTGTGCGATGCGTTTAATAGGTCTTGATGGTTTTCACTCTTCCAGTAGATTATAGATTCTGCGTGTGTGTTGGAATGTGCATGAAGGCATTGAAGCCAGGCATTATGTGGACATTGTAAATAGCATTGGATAAAGCAGTGGTGTTCACTACTGCAATAATTTAAAAAGCAAGTTGGTTTTGTTTATGTGTATGTGTATGTATGCGTATGTGTATGTATGTGTGTATACACACACACACACACACACACACACACACACAGTGGTACCTCGGGTTAAGAACTTAATTCATTCTGGAGGTCCGTTCTTAACCTGAAACTGTTCTTAACCTGAGGTACCACTTTAGCTAATGGGGCCTCCCGCTGCTGCCGCACCACCGCCGTGTGATTTCTGTTCTCATCCTGAAGCAAAGTTCTTAACTTGAGGTACTATTTCTGGGTTAGTGGAGTCTGTAACCTGAAGCGTCTGTAACCCGAGGTACCACTGTGTGTGTATGTGTGTATATATATCACGGTAACATTTGTAGTGCAGCCTTAAAACATGTTTATCCAAAGTTCACGTCCACTGAGTTTAATGACACTTTCCTCCTAAAAAGCTGGCTCCCACGATAATGTGGCACTGATTTTCACCAGAAGAATGTTGGAGGGTATGCAATAAATAAATGAATAAATAAATTCCTAAGCTAAGTAAGTGCATGGGGGTGGGTGGCATTTTCCTGTGTGGAGGGAATTGTTTGCAGTGGGGAGCAGTTCATCATGTAAACCAGTGCCGGATTTATGTATAGGCTAAGTAGGCTGAAGCCTAGGGCCTCTAAATCTAAATCCCCAACAGGCAACCTCCCCTCTCCCAAAATTGCAAACCCAAGACTTCATGTGAGGGCAGGACAACTTGGGCCTCTAAATCAAGGGGGCCTCGCCAGCCTGCCCGCTCCGCAGTGCCGCGGTCTCCCCTCTCCCAAAATTGCAAACCCAAGACGTCATGCAAGGGCAGGGCAACTCAGGCCCAGCAACTATGAGACTTTGGGCTAGCCAGTGGGGCCCAATTTGAAGCAGTGGGGCACAACTTGAATTGTTTGGGGTTTTTTTTGGTAGGGCCCCAGTTCATAGCCAAAGTCTGCAAAATCTTATAGACATAAATAAAATCCATCTAGATTGCCCTGGTGCGGGGGGCCCCTTAGGAGTGGCATGTGGGGCCCAATTTGGCCAAATTGCTCCAATTGCCTTAATGTCAGCCATGATAAAACTGTGCAGGGGTTGGACTGACAAGCCCTGCACCTTCTATGTCCCTGGTGTCACTATTCAGAGTACAGATTCAAGGATGTGTTATGGAAATAAAGGGGGGGGGGCACTTATTGGAAATCAGGTTTGTCACCTCTCTCCACCCAACCCCCGAGAAAATGAGCCCAGCCACCTTTTATTCACAGTTGCATAAGCACTACACTACAGCATGGCCATAAAGTTTCAACTGCTGAAATATACACCCAATATGTAGCAATGGAGATTTATGTTACTGCATTATGAATGAACACTGTGTTTTATGAATGGACTCTGTATTTTGTGAATTACCTAAGAGCCACCAATAGGGAGCTCTAGAATCTGACAGCTAACCAACTGGGTACTACCAAACAGCGACCCCTATTGCTGAAAGCAGGTAACCTGGAGGGAATGCTTCAGCTCAGCCTTTGCACTGTTGACTGAAACCCCGTGCTGTGCAGATAATGGAGAAAGCTCGTAAATTGTATCCCTTCTGACATCCTGGCCAACTCTGTTATGCTGGTGTAAACCCTTGCGAACTAGAAGCCCAGAATAGCAGCAAATAAAATCTGCTCATACGTCAGCGACTGATATGACTTGTCAACCAGTTCTTCCAAAGTCTTCCTAAATTAAAGAGCTCCAAAATACAGGCCAAAAGAGAACAGGTCTGAGAAGAGCGAGGCATACAATGGGCACCACCAGTGAAAAGGCCCTGCTCCGTGTAGCTCCTGCCCTGTTATTTGATAGGGTGCCCACTTGCCCTCCTTCTTGACATGGAATGCTCTCAATTAGAGTCTCTAGGTCCAGTACAAAGACCATAAGAAGGGAGAGCAGGGACCTTGAAGTTCCCAAAAGCTGTTAATCAAGCAAGCAAGCACACAGGTCACCTTTGTCACAGTCAGGACGCCTATGTCCTGGCCAGACCTGCACCCAGTCTTGTTTTTGTACAATCTGGTTTGCTCTCAATAACCAAAATTATATTATCAACATATACAAGCAGAAAAGTTGTTTCCCTTCATTTGCAAGGAATCACACAAAACAAAGTAGCACTAATAAAGAAAAATTCTAGGGTGGGAACAGAAAGCAAACTAAAAATGCTTTTGCAGTTCATCAAAACTGTCCAGCAATATCAAGTTATAGGAAAACTGGTGCTAGTAACAGTAATCCTTCTAGTTTATTAATTAGTTTGGCAACTTCTATGCACATGACATGTGATGCTAATTATTTCCCCAAAGAGTTAAATTATAACTACTCAGAGGCAGCGACAGTTGCAAATGGCAACAAAATATCTGTGAAAGGAAGAGGAGCAGGTTTGCTCAAGTGCGTAGAAATACTGTTTGTAATGAAGAGACAGCAGTAGTTTACTTGCTCGAATTAACAAATAAGGAAGTTTTGAGAATTTAAATTCTAGATTAAATTTGATTACTTAATTTCCACACTGTGGCTGTAGACAAAATCACCTCTCAGGAGAGTTATGAGATTCAAGTGAGGGTCAGATGCCTTGCCAATCCCAGCAGGTATATAAGAGGCCAGGGTTGTTTTTTTTAAGAATAACATTACAACTTCATTTTCCTAAAAAATAATGCTTATTCCACAAAATGTTTACAAAGTTCAGTTATTGCAAAAAGTTTTTCAGTGTTAATTTTATGCATTTTTAAAAATCACCATGGTATTTAACAATAATATCTTGAGTCCTTTAGAAGAGAAATTGTGAATTGCAGAATTTTAAATACCCGTCATCATCCCTCAATTTTGTTTATGCCACTTTTCCATTTTCTTCTAGTTGTGTGGGTGGGGGTGGGGAGGGGCATCACAAGTTGAGTATCCTAGGACCTCTCTTCATCTAAATCCAGCCCTGACGTGAACCCAAGCCTTCAGCCTGAAGTCGTACAGGTTTGCCACCTTGGAGAGCAGTAGGCTCTTATTGGTTCTTGCTGCTGAATAATGCATGCTTTAAATTAGACCCAGTTCCATTGTATCAAATATCACGAGCCCAAATGAACATGTAAGATAACTCAGATATATCTTCTGGTTTGCTGGATGCAGAAATGAGTCTTTGATAAATGATCTGCTGCTGCTGGGTGTTTATGCTGTCATCTTAGATACAGTAGGTGGTGGGCATTTTGCCAAGGTAACATTTCTCCTTTGAAAGGGGCACATTTGCATTTACTCCCTCGTGTATTGGAGGTGTGTGCATGTGTTTTTACAGACACTGCATACCACTTGCTGACGGTTTGAGCTATTCTATTAAATATTCTAATTGATTCTGCACTATATTTGCCTACGGTATCTGTTTAAATAATGGCGATAAACTGGTGTATGCGAAAGCCTGTTGGAGATTTTGAAAGGGGCAAAATCCCATCATCCGCTGCTTGGGGAGCTGTAAGAACTCATTCCAGTCTGAACAGGATAGGCAATGTCAGCTCACTCACTGCCACCTTCTAGTCAGTGGTCATTAATGAATGCAATGCCAGGAGAGTAGGGACTCAGCTGCATAGCTGGAAATATAACGTTTTAAGTGCATTGTTCAAATGTGACACTAGATGGCGCTTGCAAGCTTAATGGCAAATTCAATATATTTTAAAAAGCATTTTCACAGTTTTTTTATATATGTGTAGATTCCACCTGGGTGACTGAAAGTACAGTGGAGCCAAGGCTAATGGGTCGTTTCCTCGCCAACCTCAGCCGGCCCCCAACTGTCTGTCTTCTTGTTTATATCCATTCCAGGAGTGGCGCTGGCTTTCAGCTCCATCCTCCATCCTCCTTAGTCTGTTTTCAGCAGGGAGGAGGATGGGGCAAAAGCAGCCTTGTCACTAGCTCTGGTTTCACTTCTTGTTGGCCTCTCTTGCTTTCCAATGTGCATCAGTCACTACTGAATGAAACCTACCACTTTCTACCAGCTTCAGATTGCATAGACCTCTGACCTGCATTCAAGTCATCTTTGTTTTGTTTCATGGCACTTGGATCATAGCTTTAAAAGGTGCATCTCCCCCCCCACACACACCATTGCTCTAGGGCAAATCCTATGTTTTTATGTACCAAAAGGATTGGGTACTTAGCCAGAACTTGTGAGAGGGTATTAGCATTAGGAAATTATGTGTGGGACCTGCAACAAAATGGTTTAAGCTAGCCAGCCATGTCCTTCTTCAGCGCACTCCATTGCAGCCTAACCCCATGGTTTTCTGTCTCCCCCAGGACACTTGGTGTTCTGTGGCTACTGAAAATGCTGTCTGTCCTATTCCTCGTTTCCATGCCCGATGGAAAAATATCAGCATGCTTTTCTATTGGGCATGGAAACGAGGAACTGCACAGACTGTGGTGTCTTTCGGGTATATGGTTTATTTACACATATATGCAACCTGAGCCTACAATGGAGGGGTCCACAACATTACACTCCAAGTGGGTCTCCTGCTTTCCCCATAGGTAGCAGCCTTGAATCCAAAACAGAAGTCAGTCATGCTCTCTGTCTCATTTTACAGCCCATCACAGTTTTGCTGGCACATCACTGCCAACTGCCGCCCTAAAAATCTAACACTGCCTTTTTGTCTTACTAACTAAAACCAGGGCCAGGGGTGGGGCTGCACCCAGTTGGTTGTCTGGCACTGAATTTCCGGATGACCCATCTGCCTTCCTTTTGTTGAGTCAACCACTCGACCATTAGCAAGTGATTACCTCACGAGGAACCTGGCCTCTGCTATTTCCAACTCTTGCTAGAGCCAGGAATTTAGGGGTCTGCTTAAATTCTAACCTTTACTGAGTCCAGAGATTTAAGGGAGACTGACCCCAACTCATAGCAACTGGTTATTTACTAAATATAGTAGCACTTAATGGACAATAGGCCAGCAAACATCAAAGCATCTAACAGTGGGTATTTTAGAGGGTCTGATTGTGTTTCTTTGTACTTCACATGCATATGTGTGAGCATACATGCTGAGTGATGCTCACATGGAAAATGCTCACACTTTGGGCAGAACCACATGCTTAGTTCAGCACAAACAATGGGCCAGTGTCCTCCTCTACCACACTTAAGCATCTTAGATAGTTCAGGGCAGAGCATACACAGCTCTGTTCTCCAACACTCATTGCTGTTGCCAGCCACACCCACCCACCTGTCCAGCTAGTATTTGCCAACTGAGGCAGCTGCTTCATTCTGCCCAATGTTAGGGCCAGCCTTGCTCCTTAAAAAGGACAACAGTGACATGCGAAACTAACTGGTATCTCATGAAGATGGAACTGGAACTTTTGTAGATGTAGTCTGTAGGATTCCCGGAAGCTGCTGCAGTTTCTGATTTGATCCTGGAATGTCCCGCTTTTCCTTAGGACGCCCCTATTTTCATCGGAGAAATGTTGGAATGTATGGAGTTATGCGACCCCTGGAGCCAAGGAGATAAGTAACTATAGAACCTTTAGAAGACATCTGAAGGCAGCCCTGTATAGGAAAGTTTTTAAATGTTTAATGCTTTATTATGTTTTTGTATATGCTGGAAGCCGCCAAGATGGGTGGGGTAGAAATATTATTATTATTATTATTAGACTAGGATATCCCTAATTACATTGGAGAAATGTTGAAGGGTATGGAGTTTAACAGAGTAAATCCCATTGAATTGTGTCTAAAATTGCAACCTAAAAGTGCTTCATGCTTCCCAAGCAAGCTAAGCAAATAAGGCCAAGGTCATGTACCACATACTTGTCGCTCTATCTGACATGCTCCCCTAAATGTTCTTCTTAAATTTTCAAAAACAATCAAGGTTAAAATATGTATATATCGCAAATGTCTCTGCAGTGTATGGCTTGTGGGCCTATAAAGAAACCTGGCTGCGAAACCAAGACCCCACCTAGATAAAAAATGCATCCCTCCCTGTCTTCCTCTTACATTGCTCAACTAACCTAAGACTTTAGTTGAGGCTGCATTTGTTCCCCCACCCCCACCCCTTTCCCCCCTACTCTCTCTTACATCCTCCAGGAACGTTGCTTCTCCCGTCCCATATAGGAAGTCTCATTCATCCTTCCATTCATGTTTAGAAGGAATTCCTTCATTCTCTCTCTCTCTCTCTCTCTCTTTATTTGAGCAAGATTACCACCATCCATGTCCCCTTCCCTCTTCTTCTGCCTTTGCCAGGGAGAGAGAAAAACAGAGCCTGCCCAGATGGTTGAGGAGCAAAAAAGAAGGAACATTTTCTCATGCTTTTAAAAAGAGCACTTTCTTTCCTGCCTAATATTTAGCTCCTTCAAATGCAAATGGAGAGGTTTCACTCCAAGGTTAGCATAACAATTATGGGAAAGCTTTAAATCTGAAGCATTTGTTTACAGGATGAAAGGAGTCCACAGTCCAAAAGCTCTGAGGCCAGGCCTTTTCACCAGCTATTTTCTGACTAAGTAGTGAACGGCAAGTCAATTTTAGATCACAAAGAAAACTAATTTATATCGCAGAGTAAGCTAATTTTGAAGGAACTTCTACATTAGAAATGGGGTTTTTTATTTTAAAAAGTCTGCTGCTGAAGAAAAGTATTAATTTCTTTTCTTATTTTTTTTAAAGATTGCATCTTTTTTTTTTAAATGAGGCTGCCGAATGCCTTGAAGTTAGTGTCCAAGTGTTCAATAAGGTCTTTACATTTCTGAATATCTGGAATTATTACTGGAGTGTGAAAAGCAAATCCAGAATCAGAAGCAGTGTTAAAAACAACAACAACACCCTCCTCTTCACATCTTTCTGCACCTCCAACCATTTTCTGCTTCACTTGCTGCCACCCTCATTTTTTTAAAGGTTTGAGTCTTAATTTTTTTTTTAAAAAACCCTTTTAGTGAACACTAGAATGTACGCCGACTCCCTCAGCCAATAAAGCAAGATGAGCGCCGTAACCCCAGAGTCGTCCGCGACTGGACCTAACAGTCAGGCATCCCTTTACCTTTACCTTTATAATGGTGAAATGTGCCATAATAAATCTTCCATCTGTGACAGAGAAGAGGTGAATTGCAGACAGGAAATGCCCCTAGCCAATGACTGGTGTGGCTTTCAGCCTTGGATTATGCCACTTTGACATGTAATATTTTGCAGCTGAGATTTTCAAAAGTTCGCAAGTGTATAAATGAGTATAGGTTGTATCAGGGAACTGACATCGGAGCCAGAGGCGGAGGCTAGGCTCTCAAGCGATGCTGGAGAAGGGCCCAGCAGGGGGAGAGGCGGCTCACCAGCTGGGGAAAGAAATCAGCGTAACACCAGGGATAAAGGGGGGCAGATGGGGAATCGGCGAGGGGCTCCAGGACTCCTCGCCGGAGATCAGCGAGGAGAGCACGGGTCCTCCGCTACCCACGCCCTCCCTGCGCAGAAGGCTTCCGCGCAGGGAGAGTAGGAGGAGACTTGGAGTCAAACAACTTTTATGCTGGAAAAGGTTTAAGAAACGCCCACTGACAGATTCTGCTAGCGACTGAACAGCCACGAAGTGCAGGGCTGTCCAGACAGAAAAGGTTTAACAAGGCAACCTAGCCAGGAGTGGCACCAACTTGCGCACGAGCAACCCCTACATTTATTACAGGTTGTATAGTTACTTATCTCTTTGGCTCAGGGGGTCGCATAACTCCAGACCCTCAAATTTACCTCCGATAAAAATAGGGACGTCCTACTATGTCCTCCATTCTGGGATTCAATCAGAAACTGGAACAGCTTCTGTAAATCCACGGCTGTCTCTGGAATTATAGGGACACTTGGAGGGTCTGTAATAAGTGTGTTTAGGGTTGCAGCCTTAGGAACTGGCAGGCTGGTTTGCAGGAAGAGGTAATTCACAAGCCCCCCAAAATGTCATTTACTGTCACTAAAATTGCTGTGAAAGCTTTTTTTTGGTTAAGCGTTCAGATTGGAGCAACACATCTGCCTCTTTTCCCTTTTAGTGATTTATGGTAGTAAAAAGGAAAATGAAATGATAAAAACCCAAACATATGGACCACCTACAAATAGTGGCAAATTGCCGGAGAAAGGGCTAAAGCTATAATTCAACATTAGCAGCAATTCTATAGTCGTTCTCTTGCTAGTAGGGCCTCGTTTGCATGGTGAGTGATTATTATCTTTGTTTTTGTCACCTCATTCTTCATCGCAGCCATGCCTGTAGGCTTCTCTAGCATATATAGAAGGTGCTCTATTATGGTCTTTTGTATAAATTAAAATGTCTCAGCTGCTTCTCGGAGTACGCTTGAAGGCCACAGAATTGCTGTTTTGATTCTCTTGCACTTGTGAAAATACACTCCTGCATATCCTTCCTTGAAGAATTCAAGTAAGCTTCCGTACATGCAAAAGCTGAAAAATAGCAGTATCGACGTTGGGAAGGAACTATTTCATAAGATTTTACTGCACCACGTTGTTTAATTGTAGGTTGAGATTACTCTGGGAGAAGCCTCCCTACACCCACATCCAAACAAGGTTGATTTCCCCTCTTGTCAATTCTACTTGAATCAGTGCATGGTGACCAATCATGTGTAGATGTTCACCACATGCCTTGGCTCCAGAAAGCCCTTGAACAGTTGCATCACAAGCAGTACACAGCTGCTGCAGGGCACGGACATGTCTGAATGTGCAATGAACATATGTGAATGATTGATCATGGTGCCCTGCTTCACATAGGCTGGCAGAACAAAGTCAACCCACTTTCTAAAAAGTCCCCTTTCTCTCTCACCCGCCCTTCAAAAGTTGTGTGAATAGGACTGTCACTGTCTGGTCTACACACGGATTGTCAGACTCCTCATCTACCAAATGTTCAGGAGCAATGCTTGCATTTTTTATTTTTATTTTTAAAAAAACATTATTTGACACCAACCTGCCTCAATGTGGCGCTAACACTGGAGAAAATAAGAAGTTTTCCTGCACCCCTGGCAAAGCGTGTTCTCCTTATGGAGAGCACGTGTTGCAGTGGGGGCCGCCAGGACACTCCAAAGTTGGGGGCGGGCTAATTGTTCATTGGCCACTGATGCGATTGGGACTTCCCTTGTTGTTGGGAGGAAGTTAATGTTGCCATTTGTTGACTGACAGCCAGAAATGCTAAAACTCCTTGCACAAGGCTAGGGCTTCCTCTTTTCGACCGTGCATTGGATTGATCACAGCGAAGGGAGACGGTTGTATTTTTCTACTACCGTATTTTTTGCTCCATAAGACGCACCAGACCATAAGACACACTAGTTTTTGGTGGAGGAAAACAAGAAAAAAAATATTCTGAATCTCAGAAGCCAGAACAGCAAGAGGGATTGCTGCGCAGTGAAAGCAGCAATCCCTCTTCCTGTTCTGGCTTCTGGGATAGCTGCGCAGCCTGCATTCACTCCATAAGACGCACACACATTTCCCCTTACTTTTTAGGAGGGAAAAAGTGAGTCTTATAGAGCAAAAAATACGGTAATTACCTTGTGTCTTTGGCCTGCTTTAATTGCGTTAGCTTCTATTTAATTGATATTTTAGTCCTATTAAATTTTCTTTTTTCTGTGTAATATTTTCTTTTACTTTTACTCTGCTTTCCCACCCCCCTTTTTGGTCTTTAATTCCCGCCTACTCCCCCCTCCCCCCTTTAGCTTACCTTAACATTGGGTCTTCTAATTTGGTGACAGGCCTCTCCAAGGCCGGTTTTCTTTAATTCATTGCCCCGGCTGCCCCTTTTCTGCCAGTCCCGGGTGAAGGGTGGGCCTGGCTGAGGGCGCAGCGGCCTCAGCCTGCGCAGGGGCCCAGCAGCCTCGGCCTGGCCTTGGGCGGCCGTTTTTAGGCCTTTTTTGGAGGCGCCTTATGCCGCGCTGTGGTGGGGAGTGCCTCTGGCCTTGCCAGGCCCGTGAGCTCCCCCCCCGCCCTATTCCTTAAAGGGCCGGTTTCGGCCTTGTTAGCCTGGCAGGCCTTCCCTGCAAAGCAGGGAGGCCTGGTGTATGCCAGGGCTGCAGGGAGGCAGGCACGGCCTAATTGGGGCCTGGGAGCAGGCCCCGTTGTGATCACCACCTTCCCTGCTTTTTGGCGGGAGCGCCATTTCTGAGGCCTAGTTTGCTCTCGTAGGCCCTCTAGAGGCCGTTCTGAGGTACTGCAGCGCTTGTTTTTATTGCATTATTTTAGGCTGATATTGCAGCCTGTGTACTTTAATTGTAAAGAAAATATTTTAGAGGCGAGCCATTGTGGCTTAGTGGCTAGAGTGCAGGACTAGGTCCTGGGAGACAGGGTTCATATCCCTCCCTTAGCCATTGTTATAACAAAACAAATCAAAATCAATTTGGGTTTCTTGAGGGGGTGCTTCCCTCTAAAAGGGCAAGCAGGGGTACCTGGACAGGCGGAGGGCTGCCTCAAGTCTGTTATCTCATTGGAAACATTTATGTCTGGCCTAGCAGGTGATCCTAGGGCTTTGCTCGAGAATTTGATGGCCTCTGGCAGCGATTCTGGCCTGAATAGCGTCCCCATGTGGTGCACGAAGGATTGGTTTCACTGGTTCCTCACATTGTTTAGTTTTTTGCAGACTATGGCAGGGCCTTTGCAGATGCCTCCAGAGCTTATCTTTCCTGTAGAGGATGACTTGCTGATGCCCCAGGTGCCTTCTTCTGGAAGAAAGCGTCTTCAGAGGCGGCGATCCAGGAGAGGAGGGCAAAGAAGAGCAGAGATGATTCTTACACTTCCTCACAGGTACTTCATTCCTGGGCTTTGATGACGATTCAGGCGTCACCTTGGACCTCTATGGGGTCAGGGTGAGGCTGTCCCGGGTCTTTAAGGATCATCCTGGTTAGCTCAGCGGGTCAGCATGTGGTGCCAGTAATGCCTAGGCTGCAGGATTGGTCCCTGTATGGGACAGCTGCATGCTCCCCCATCGTTCTACCTGGACAGAAGCCTGGTTGCAGGGGGCCGGGCAGAGGGCCTTCTCGGTGGTGGCACCTGTCCTGTGGAGAGCCCTCCCACCAGATGTCAACTACCAGACATTTAGAAGACATCGGAAGGCAGGGGAAGCCCAGCTAGATGGGCGGGGTATATTTAATATTATTATTATTATTATTATTATTATTATTATGGAGTGGACTAGAAGATTGTTGGTGTCCCTTCCAACTCTACGATTCTATAAGTAGCAATTCACTATGATGGGAATGTTAGACCCAGGGCTGCCATCATCCCCACAGCTTGCTGGGATCGCAGGGATGGGGACATGTGGACCACTTGCGCAGCTCCACATTTCAAATGGAAATTCCCTGAGCAGTAGAACCTGAAACTGGTGTGCAGGAAGCTGGCCCGGCAGCAGCTTTGTTGTTTAGGGGTTCTGGACAGCGTCAGCCCTGTAAATTCACACATCATGGTAGCAGCATAAGACGCCCCCTGCCCAAGCGGGGGCTGGGAGCTGGCAAGCAATAGCTCCTTATCTCTGGCCCATATTCCCATAAACTTATCTCCCTTGAAAGCCTGGCTAAAAGGTTATCTAGATGGGTCAGCGACTTTGTGCTTGCGGGAAGGGTTTTCTCAAGGTTTAGGATTCCTCTGGCTTTTAAGCCAGTGGCTCAGAATACAGCAAATCAAAAGTCAGTTAGAGAGCCACCTAAGGTAGCCAGAAAGAAGGTTAGGAAGCAGCTTGCATTGGGACGTATGGTGGGACCCCTAAGAAAGCCCCATATAATTCCATCTGATCCTTATTTATCGCATCCCAAAGGCACCTCAGTGAATGACGCTATCCTTAAGGAATTGTTCCGCGAAGTTCACGTCTTTGGATCAGGCGGTTGAGCTTACCACAAAATTGGAAGAGGTGCCTTGTTGGCAATATGCTATATTGAATCGGCTGTTAGGCTGCTGCTGGTTCACCAGCGAGATTTTAAGTGGTTGGGCTTTAATTTGGATGGGGCTCCTTATATTGATAAGGCAATGCCGATGGGTTGCGTAATAGACTGTGCAGCACTCCAGTCCTTTAGCGCCTTTCTGGATTGAACAGTGCGAGTTTATACTCATTTAACTGGGGGTACCATTTTTGGGATTATTTTACTGGCTGGTTCATGTGACACCAGCCTCTGTGTAGGCTTGCTAGACACCCTTTATTCCTCTGAGGAGCTGGGTGTTTCATAGGCAGTAACGTATTTGGGGGTTAGCTGGATACCGTTGCTCGAACATCTGCTTGCCTGTGGTGAAGCTGTTTGCCTTCAAGGAAGTTATTCTTGTTATACTTCTTCTGAAGCAAGCGTTGCTTTGTCAAATCCTATCATTTGCTAGGTCAGTTAAATTTTGCATGCAGGGTGGTTGCTCCAGGCTGCCCCTTCCGTTCCTGCTGGGCCAGGTTGTCTCATGGCCTGAGGTCCCTTCTTCATCATGTACACTGGCCTTGAGCCTGGCAGGGCAAGCCAATCATTATTTAGGGATCCAGATGGATATTGTTGCTCAAACATACCGCTTGCCTATGGAGAAGCTGTCTGCCTGGAAGGAAGTTATTTTGTAATACTTCTTCTGAAGCAAGTGATGCTTCATCAGATCCAATCTTCCTGGGTCATTTAATTAAATATTGCATGCAGATTGGTTGTTCCAGGCCACCCCTTCCGTTCCCACTTGGCCAGGCTGCCTTCGGCCCGAGGTCCCCGTACCTTCGTGTACGCTTACATGGCAGGATACCTTGAACCTGCACAGCGATTTTCAGGTTCATGCTGATGCTGCTGGATCTTTGGCCTTTGGTTTTTATTTCAGGGGCTGTTGGTGTGCAAAGCCATGGCCTCAAGCCTAGTGTGGTGAGGCTATCATGTGACCTAACTTTGCTTGAGTTTTTCCCATTGTAGTAGCAGTTCACATCTGGACCAGGAGTTCAGTGACCGTCGGATCTGCTTTTGGTCTGATAACCAGGCAGTGGTGAGCATCTTGGCAGAACAGTCCACATGCTCCAGCAGAGTCTCCGCCCCTCTGCTCACGCTTTTGAGCTGCACTGCTTAAGGTTTAATATTGTGCTTGCTGCTCACCTGATTACGGGATCCTCTAATGATATTGCTGACACTCTATCTCATTTTCAGATGGAGTGCTTCAGATTCTGGACACTCAGCTATTGCCGGACTTTTCCGGACCACCTGTTGCACTTTGACAACAATTAGTAATTACAGGGAGTAGCAGCTTCCATTCCCCTTCTGCTTTTAGCTCTTATGAGAAGGCCTGGACTGATTTCTTAGGGTTTAGTTGACAGCCCTTGGCCTTTCAGAGGAACTTGCCCCCATACGCAGAGCAGATCCTGCAGGATTTGGCCCACCTGCTGCAGATTGGATGTGCTGTAAAAACTATCAGAATTCAGTCCGCTGCAATGTCTGTTATAGTGAAGCTTAATTTTTCAGAGACCCTTGAAAAAAGTTTGTCGTGCACAGGGCCTTGGACGGTTGGAATAGGCTCCAACTTCATAGGATGGTGCACCTCTTCCAATTGGGCCGAGTGGCCAGGACGCTCAGGATCCAACTGGCGGCCATTTCCTTTTCCTGCAAAGCCTTTTTTAATAAAGACCCTTGCGCCAAATTTGTGGTGTGCAAGGCTGTGGAAGGCTGGGGTAGGCTGGGCACTCTATCCCCTGTGGTAAGGAAGCCTATAACTTTTGATTTGCTGACCAGCATGCGCTCAAAGTTGAGGAGCATTTGCTGGTTCAAATATGAAGCACGGCTTTTTCCAGCCGCCTTTTCTTTATCCTTTTTTGGCGCCCCGAGGGTAGGTGAGGTGGTATTGGAGTTCACCCGCGGCAGAGAGTCAAGGGGACTGCTTTTGCAGGACGTAACTCTATCCCCTTTGGAGGTGGTCCTGTTTATCCGGAATTCGAAGACAGACCAGTTAGGCAGGGGTGCCACTCTTAGGCTGCCTGCCACTGGGAATAAGGGTCCTTGCCTGGTTAAGGATACCTCCAGGTATTTGGATCTCAGGCCATGGGGGGAGGGTCCATTCCTTATTCATGAGGATGGTGCCCCGTTGGCTAAGCATCAATTTGCTAAGGTGATGCGGAAAGCGATTGCAGCTTGTGGTTTGAAAGCAGCAGGTTACGCCTCTCATTCTTTCTGCAATGGTGCTGCCACTACAGCAGCTCATTGGGGACTGTAGAAAGAATTAAGAACATGGGCTGTTGGAAGTCCAATGCATTTTGTGGATATGTGCATAGACATCGTTGATCACCCATACTTATATTTGCTTGTCTTCTCTTAGGTGTGGCTGCTGTTCGCATTGTGGGCCACAGCATTGTCTACTGGGCCGGTATCAGAGCAAGGGAGTCTGGACTTGGACTCAGTCTTGGCTTTCCTCAACACGCGCAAGTGTCTTGGCTGTCCAGGCGTGGAATGCTGTGGGCCGAATTGCTTCCCCTTGTTCGGAAGCATGTGAGGTTGGAGGGCCCCCCTACAGCTATCGTGCTGCAGTTAGGGGGAAATGATCTGCTTGCCACGGACTGTTGTTATTTACATTTTACAGTTCAAAAGGACCTGGCTGAATTGGCAGAGTTTTTGCCGGGTGTGAAAGTTTTTGGTCCCAGTTGCTGCAGAGACGCACCTGGCGTGGCAGTCGCTGTCCAGCCGCCACTGATGGAGCCAGAAAGCGTGTTAATAAGGTGGCAATGAAAGCAGTCATTGCTCATGGTGGTTCTGTGATTGCGCACCCCGATATCACCTTCAAGGCGGCCGTCCTTTTCAGGGACGATGGTGTGCATCTTTCCCCGTTGGGAAATGACACATGGTTAAATTCTGTTGTGTGGGTTTGAAGGTGGGGCTGCAGTTGTGAGTGGTTGGGGGCGAGCTTGAGTGCTCGGTGGCGGTTAGGCATTGGTTTATGGTTTGGTTGGTTGAGGGGAAGTGGTTGAGTGCCTGCCCTTGGTAGGTTGAGTGCCTACTATGCTGCTGCTGCAAGGGATTCCGTTAAAGGAATTGGGGGCTAACCATTGCTTGTCCACTCTGTCAAGGGGGCTCGGGCCATAGCAATGAGCTCCTGGTTGCATTTGGGGTGAGGGCAGGTTCCCTGCTCCGCGTAACCCCCAAGTGTATTCCCCTATTCTGACTTTCGCATCGTGCGGAATGTCAGTCTGTCCCCATGGTGGGGGCAGATAGTCGCAACCAATGCCTAAGCAACCACTCACAAATTTGTATTTCAATAAAGTTGTGGCCAAAATTATGCCAAAAATCTTAAACAAAAAATTCTGTGTGATGTGTGAGTTATTGGGGTGGCCCTGGGGACCTCGACATGCAAGGAACCTGTTATTAAAACTTTCATACAGCATGTATTTAATAATAAAAAGTCGTATATACATGTGGCGTACTGGGTACTGTGGACCCAGGAGCTAGCTTTTCTGCTCCCCCAAAAGCAATCTATCAAAACACGTATATATTAGTGTTGCATGCCACCTAAAGCAATCTCTGAGAGATTCCAGGGGTTCCAGGCACTTACCCAGGGTTTGTGTTTCCTTTGGAATGAGGTACATTGGAGACTCTAGTGTCTTTAGGATTTATGGTTTATTTACATTTATATACAACCTGAGCCTACGATGGAGGGACTCACAGCATTAACACCCCGAAGAGAGTTTAGCTTCTCCTGTAGCCACAGCCTTTGACTGAAACAGGAATCAAACATTGTTCTATCTCTGGTTCAATCCTGGGTTTTGGCAAATAGTCGCCCCTGTTAGTGGTGCAGCAATCGAGCTTCTGGCATATTTGCCAAGCTAAAAAGGTCTGGTATGGTTTCAAATTGGATGGGGGACCACATGTTGAGATTCCTGCATTGTAGGGCGTTGGACTAGATCAGTGTTTTTCAAACTTTTTTGGGCAAAGGCACACTTGTTTCATGAAAAAAATCACGAGGCACACCACCATTAGAAAATGTTAAAAAATTTAACTCTGTGCCTATATTGACTATATATAAAGTAATTCTCTTGAATAGGAATCAAATAAACACAAATCAAATAAACACAAACACTTAACATCAGTGGTGGGATTCAAAAATTTTAGTAACCAGTTCCGACATTCAAGCATGGTTTAATATTTTTTTCTTTAATGGCAAACAAAAACGTTGCGGACCGTTCTCTGCTCAGCTGTGTGCGGAGAGGGAGATGTCAGAGCCCCGCTGCTCTCTATGGGGAATCGGATGAGAGCGGACCGCCTGTCCGCTCTCATCCGATCCCATCCGATCTGATCCCCACCCAGGACGGATGGAAAATAGGGTGGACACAGTCCGGCGCCCGCCTAGTGGGCGAAAATTTGACTTTTTTTAAAAAAAATCTTTCGAATTTTTCAATTTTTCCCACGGCACACCAGGCAACATCTCGCGGCACACTAGTGTGCAGCGGAACAGTGGTTGAAAAACACTGGACTAGATGACCCTCGGGATCCCTTCCAATTCAACAATGATATGATTCTAGCTGACATCACTTTATGCTCAACTCTGGCCTTTCCCCCCTAACAGCCCACCCATTTGTTATCTGGCACAGATCCACTTTTTTCCCATAGAGCTGGAACTAAATATGATGTCGTAGCTCTGTGTTTGCCATCTCAGGCTTAGATTTTAGGCTTTCTCTAGAAGATTTTACAAAGATTCCTCTTTGTTTATCATATTTGTCTAATTTACTCATCTATATAATTTATCACAGATCTGTTTAAGTCACAGGATTGGATTGTTCCTTCGATGGAGTTACATTATGTCCACTTCATAACCAACATTGTCCTGAGAAGATAATTTGAAACAAATAAATAACAGTCATGCTTTGTTATAATGCCACAGAATAGGAAGGCTGGCAATGGATATAAATTCCGTTCTTTTGGGGTTTTTTTTGCAAAACATTGCTGTTCAGCTATGGCAATCATAGCGAGTGCATATTTCAACAAAAACACAAGAAAATCAGAAATTTGCAATTATTCAAATACCCACATCTTTACAGTGGTACCTCGGGTTAAGAACTTAATTCGTTCCAGAGGTCCATTCGTAACCTGAAACTGTTCTTAACCTGAGGTACCACTTTAGCTAATGGGGCCTCCCACTGCCGCTGTGCCGCCACGCGATTTCTGTTCTCATCCTGAAGCAAAGTTCTTAACCCGAGGTAATATTTCTGGGTTAGCGGAGTCTGTAACCTGAAGCGTCTGTAACCAGAGGTACCACTGTATTGGCTTATAGGTTCATAGGATTGGCCCCTCAGTAAAAAATGCATTTTAAGTATAATTTAGCCGAAGTCATGCTTTGGAAGGGATTCAAGATGTACCAACCGTCCAATCAAAATTAATTTTGGTTTGGCTGAAAACTTATTTTTAAACTTTTTCATTTTGAATATTAAAAATGGGAATACTTACGTAGCATTCTATATATTGAGCAAGCGGTATACAACAGAAATGCAGAAATAATTTTAAATGTTCATTCAAGAGGGATTTTTGTAGTTTGGAACTTTGTCATGATTTGGCAGATTCGTGTGGGTTGCTAAAGGCAATGCTAAAAGCAAGCAACATGGAAACTATTTTGCAGAGAGCCGCCTTTAATAGAAATTGTGCCTTCCCCATTTCTCTCCAGGAGGCACCCTTTGCGTCAGTCTTCTTGTGTTCTTAACTCAGTAAAGGCAATAAATTCAGGTGAGCCACTTGAACCTTTTGAGTTGTTTTGATGTCCATCTTTACCCCTAAATCCCCCCCGGCCCCCGACTAAAAGAAGCCGTTTACTGTTTGCAGTAAATGCCATGCCTTTGATTCCTACTTGGCTTTATTTTCCCAAGCTGGAAATTTCATTCCATTCTGTCAGCAGGTAAATAGCCTTAAACCTCTCGTGGTTTTGTCTGAGTAAAGCGGGCCCGAAAAGCATTACATGTGTTCCAAGTTACAAGAGGCAACTCTTGCTGTGTTCAAGTGGGTCTTTCCTCTCATTTTTGCTTCCTATTAAGGGCTCAGCCACAATGAAGCTTTAATCAGCTTCACTGATTTAAACCTAATTTGCACTTGGCCTCAAGGCTAAGGTCTGTAGCACAACTTGAAGGCCTTTCAATCAGATGCCAGAATGAAGTGCCTTAGGTAGATCACACTCTTGTGTTCCAGGCAAAGAAGAAGAACAGGTTCCAAAGATACTAAGTTAGTTTGTGTGTGTGTCTATACGTGTGGAGAACAAAGCAAATCTTTCTCCATTAATATCTCCTCATTGTTGGTTTTCTACCTGCATTTGTATTTCATCATGTATGTTAACAGATCTTCTGCCCTTCAGTATTTTGTGGCTTCCACTGACGCAAGCTGCTGTTGGACAGAAAATAAAGAATGTGACAGACTAGTGATCTGGTCTATTTTAGCAGTTTGAAAAAGTCTCACTGTCAGTATAATCATTAGATATGTGTTTCCCCCTTTTTCTTATTGAGCTTGAAAAAGGGAATATAAACCTTAAGGGTTCCCCCTCCCCCCCCGCATCCCCCTGTCATGCGCAAAAAGAAATGTTTAATGTGTTTGTTTCTTTCTCGGAAAATCAGTTATACAGTTGTGCTTTCTACTTAAAACACAAATTAGGCGTCAAGTTTGAAACTTTATTGTTTAAAGGCATGGTTGTATACACCTGCTCCCACATTCCCACCCCACGGCCATGGATCAGTGCAGTCTAATGAACGGTATAAAGTCTGTTCAAATTAGTGTGGAATTCCACAGCATCTGCTGAAGAGACGCCTAGAATTCCTCACCAGTGTTTCATATTTGCACCCATCCTGATGGATCTATATTTAGTGCATTCAGCGATACAGAACAGAGGAGACAAACCAGCTCCACATAGATGGCCAAATTTTAAGTAGAACTTAAACCTGAGGGTTGCAGCTAATTTGCCCATGCGTGTATATGCCCCTTTGCATCAATACAGTGGTAGCTGGGACCATCTCATAAGCAATCAGGATATTTTAGATCATACTTAACAAGACCTAGAGCAAGCATGGTCAATGTGGCATATTCCAGACTCTGCAGACAAAGCTTCCCCGCGACCCAAGTTGGCACTGCCAAAGGATAGGAATGGTCATAAATTACACGTCAAATTAATAAAATGGGCTTTGAAATCAGGACATTTTATAAGTCGTGCAACTATAGAGCTGGAAGTGGGGGCAGTTTTATTTTGACTAACCCCCTTGAGGCCCCTGGGACTAGAACCCATACAATTAATCCTGATCCATAAATGTGCCAAAAGCAGGAATGTGCAATGTGAGCTGTGTTTTGTATGTAGTGAACAATTAGCTCAAGGTATCTCAAGCAACAGCAAATGAGCTCAATAGCACACTATTTCCTCCATCGCCACATCATTATTTAGAAGGGGTGGGGAGGTGGGATTGAAATGACATGGAGTAATTTGGATTTGTATTCTAGTGTGTTAGAAGCCAGGGTGAGGGGCAGCCACATTTCCCAGTTTTTCCTCTAATCCGCCGTAAGACCTGGAAACATATTTAAAATCAAAATCTCAATATCCTTGTAGATCCGCTAAAAGTCAGTAGGTGGAAGGAATATACCTCTAATTCTCTTTGTAATGCAATAGCCACTTAACAGTGGCATTGAGCGAGTAGTCATGAGTAGGATTGCACTGTTAATGCATTGGCAAGATACAGCAGATAGTGTTCAGTAAAGTCTTACACAGAGTAGGCCTGTTGAAATCAATAGACCTAACTTACCCATGTTCATGCATTTCAATGGGTCTACTCTGAGAAACACTTAGTTGACCTCTACCCTGTGGCAGCGTTTTCAGTTAAAGACAAAATGCAAGGGAATTTAACGGTTTTCTAAAAAAACAACGACAGAGGAATGCTGCAAATATGTTTCATGAATGCTGAAACGCAATATATTACTTTTTGTCAGTTTCCTTTTTTATTTTAGGTTTTAAAAAAGACATAGTATAGATTGTGCTTTTAAGGCGCGTAACTGTGGCAAATGTGTTCTTTACAATTCACTTGATAAGGAGGGGGGCGGTTTAAGGGGATTCTGCTGGCCCCCTTTTTTTTGTCTCTCCCCCAATTTATCTAAGCGCAGTCAATAGAAAATGTGTGTAGGGAGGGGCAAGCTGAAATGCATGAGATAAGGACAACTCATGCCTTTGATAGTAACACAACAAGTTCCAAAGAGGAAATCTGGATGCGAGCTAAATGTACGAAAGTTTTGTACGCTTATCAGAGACCAACCTCAGAAGTGATTGATGCTTCTGTATCGCCAAGGTTAAGATTGTTCAGCTTTCCGGAACTGGTTGCTATGTGATATGACAATCTGCTCTAATAAATTTGCAAAAGATGCATTGATATTTCCTCCAGGATCGAGCATTTAATTTTCAAGAACCCTCAGTGGATATGACTTCCCAAACTTGTTCACATAGGTCTGACACAACACTATTGCCACAACACCCGAAACAATGGAAACCAGAGATAACTGGGTGTTAAGTGTGGAACAACATTGCCAGCTTCCACATCTCTTACCAAACTTGCTTATGTGTCAAGGTTCATGGACTGTCAGAGTTTTTGAACTGAGATAACAACTCTGGTGTACACTGACAGGGAATTGGACGATAGTTCAAACACCTCGGGTAGCTCCCAGATCTTGACTCAGATCTTGCTTGTGGATGCAAATTCACTGCAGATGAACCACTGGACACAATGGCAATACATTAGAGTAAACATGCATAGGATTGGGCTGCCGGGGAGTCCATTCATTGGCATTCAGTTCTTGATGACTGCAACATTATGTGATGACTTGATGTGTTCGAAAGTGATGTGTACACAGCCCTCCCTCTCCCCCCACTGAGACAGTGGTTCTCAAACTTTTTTTTGTGGGCCAAACTTTTGACTGACCCTCCTTGTTGTCTGCCACCACAGAGCACTTCCTATCGGAAGAAGAGCAAGTGCTGTTTCCACTACCAATGGGATGTAGCACCCACCCCCTCCTCTTTCCTGAGAAAATCCCTGAATCCCAATTTTATTTAATTTTTTATTCCTTGGTAGATTTACAAAAAGAAAAACACACACAAATAAACCAATTTTCGAAAGGGGCAAGATTAGATGCAGACACACAAAGCATTTTTTTAAAAGTCAATACTCTTTAACAACAACAACAACAACAACAACAACTTTTATTTATACCCTGCCCTCCCCGGCCAGAGCCGGGCTCAGGGCGGCTAACACCAATAAAATTTCAGTAAAAACATAAAAAAGGAAAAAAACAACAATTTAAAATGCAGCCTCATTTTAAAAGTCAAAACCATAAGGGGAGGGAAACATAAGGGTCAGACTGAGTCCAAACCAAAGGCCAGGCGGAACAGCTCTGTCTTGCAGGCCCTGCGGAAAGATGTCAAGTCCCGCAGGGCCCTAGTCTCTAGTGACAGAGCGTTCCACCAAGTTGGGGCCAATACTGAAAAGGCCCTGGCCCTCCCTAGTTGAGACCAACCTAACCACCTTGTGACTTGGGACCCCCAAAATGTTGTCATTTGTGGACCTTAAGGTCCTCCACGGGGCATACCAGGAGAGGCGGTCCCATAGGTGCATGGGTCCTAGGCCGCATAGAGCTTTGTGCCCCACTCTGCAACACTCCTCCTTTCTTCCCCCACAGCCCTGCCCTTTGCCTGCCCCTCACAGCCGGTGCATCTCCCAGGGCCTGGCCTTGGCGGTTGCAGGCTCTCCAAGGCCAGCAGCAGCAGCAGCCATAGAGAGGCCATGGAGAGGCAATGGGATGCTAGCGCCAGCTCATCCTCCTCCCTAAGCTCGACAGTGGTGATGCTGGCAAGGGAAACAGGGATATTCTGGCCTCAAATTAGAATCCAGGATGGCTTTCGTAATTCTGGGACTGTCCTTGGAGAATCGGGACACTGGGAGGGTAAATTATAATTTGGGGGCACCCTTCCCACATTGGTACACCTGACTCACTATGCAAATGTCAAAGACACATCCTGGGTGCTTGGGGCGATGGGTGGGTAATAAATTGTGGTAATCCTACTACGAATAAAGCTAACAGCAGCATTTCTGATGCAACTACACGGCACATTTTTTATTAGCCACATATCTCCATTCTTTGGTTAAGAGAGGGCATATATTTAACTCGGCGCGCAAGAGCCTTCCCAGTCTTGCTGGTGTGGTGAAAGACTGGGGTTGATTTCAGTGGCTTGGTACACGCAGTGTGCTAAAATATTCATAGTTCACCATTTTGTAATACAGTTAACTCCATAATAAAATATTTCGACGAGAGAGTGACAGTGCGAAGCTTCTGATACAGCTAATGGGTTTGAAGAGGATTCTAATGCATTGAGAAGGGCCTGAGTTGAGTTCTTGTGTGCAAAGGAGGATTATAAAATATAATTATGGAGAGGCAACAGCAGCAGCAGGCCTGAGGCAGCTCTGCTGATGTACGGGTGCTACAAACAACGTCTTTTGCTGACGAGAATGCCTAGAAATGTTTTTTTTTTTTTTTTTTTTTTTTGCATTTCAAAAATTTTATTGATTTCCCATTTTTTAAACAGTATATCCATATTTCAATATATCTCATACATTTTGAACTTCCTTCAGCGTCATTGACATTCATTCGTATTTATATCTTTAAAACACATTCCATTCTTTCATATTGCCATTCGTTCCTTCCTTCATACATTATTTCTATTAAACAATACTTATTAATTCTTTACAGTGCCTCTTTAAATCCCACTAGCGTTGTATTTACAAAACATTTATTCTCCAGATAACCCACAAATTTCCCCCAGTCCTCAATAAACTTTTGATCCTTAGTATATCTGATTTTCCCTGTTAATTTATCCAACTCAGCGTATTCTGTCAGTTTTACTCTCCACTCTGCTATCGTTGGGATTTCTTCCTGCTTCCACTTCTGAGCTATCACAATTCTGGCTGCCGTTACCGCATACTGGAAGAGTTTGCAATCCTTCCTTTTGATATCCTTTCCCACAATGCCTAATAAAAAGGCTTCTGGCTTTTTTACAAAAGTGTAACTTAACATCTTTTTCATTTCGTTGTAAATTTCATCCCAGAAGCTTTTAACTTTCTTACACTCCCACCATTGATGATAGAAAGTCCCTTCCTTTTGTTTACATTTCCAGCATTTGTTATCTGCCTTATACATCTTAGCCAGTTTTACAGGTGTCATATACCACCTGTAAAGCATCTTCATCACATTTTCTCTCAGTAACGTGCATGCCGTAAATTTTATGTTCACTCTCCATAACTTTTCCCAATCCTCTAGTTGAATGTTATAGCCGAAATCCCTTGCCCATTGTATCATGACAGATTTTACTTCCTCATCCTTCGTGTTCCACTCTAACAATATTTTATACATTTTTGACAGGTTTTTATATTCGTTGTTTATTATCTCTTTTTGAAATTCCGATTCCTTTTCCTCGTAACCCCTTTCCTTCACCTCTTCTTTAAACATTTCATTTATCTGAAAATAGTGCAGCCAGTCATATGTAAATACTTTAACCTGATCGTATGATTTTACTTTCCACTTCCCTCCTTCATTAGTAACCATTTCTCCATACTTTCCCCACTTTTCTCTCATATTAACTTTCTTTACACTTATTATCTCCAACGGGGATAGCCAATGTGGGGTTTTCGGTTCTAATATATTTTTATATCTGTCCCAGACCTCTATTAGTGGACCTTTAAAGATGTGGCTACAAAATTCTTTATGCACTCTCTTTTTATCCCTCCATAGATACGCATGCCACCCAAATCTATTATTGTGCCCTTCCAAATCTAGTAGTTCTTTATTCTCCAGCTTTACCCATTCTTTTATCCAACACAGACATGCTGCTTCGTAATACAGTCTCATGTCTGGTAGGGCGAAGCCCCTCTTTCTGTTACATCTGTTAATAACTTAAACTTAATTCTAGGCTTCTTTCCTTCCCAGACGTATCTAGAGATCACCTTTTGCCATTCTTTAAAATTTTTTGTACCTTTTAATATGGGTATCGTTTGAAATAAAAATAACAACTTTGGGAGCACCATCATTTTGACCATAGATATTCTTCCCCAGAATGATAATTTCATCCTGGCCCAGACCTCCAGATCTTTTTTAATTCCATTCCAAACCGGGGTGTAGTTATTTTGGTATAAATCAATGTTTTTGTTGGTAAGCCAGAGTCCCAAATATTTAACCTTTTTAACAACCTCAATTTCGGTTCGTTGCTGTACTAATTCAATCTTATCCTGATCTAAGTTTTTAACAATCATTTTTGTCTTACTCTTATTCAATTTAAATCCTGCTAGCTTCCCAAATTTCTCCATCTCTTCCAAAATCTCCCTTATACTCTCTATAGGTTCTTCCACTGTTAGGACCACATCGTCTGCGTAGGCTTTAACTTTGTACTCTTTTGAACCTAATGTTACCCCTTTAATTTGTTTATTTTGTCTTATTGCATTTAGTAAGACTTCCAAAACCACAATAAAGAGCCGCGGCGAACGCGGACCTCCCTGTCTTGTTCCTTTGGATATTTTTATATCTTCAGTGATGATATTATTAATTATCAGTCTCGCCTTCTGTTCTGTGTAAATTGCCTTTATGCCATTTAGAAACTCTTGGCCCACCTCCATAATTTCCAAATTTTTTAACATGAAATCCCAGGCTACATTATCGAAGGCTTTCTCCGCATCTACGAAGATTAGACTGGCTGGTTTATCACATCTATCAGAAAGGTATTCAATTAAATTAACTATACTTCTTGTGTTATTTCTTATTTGCCTGCCCGGTAAAAAACCCGCTTGGTCTTCATGTATAATTTTTGTTAGTATCTTTTTTAATCTTTTGGCTAGGATTCCAGCAAAAATCTTATAATCCGTATTTAATAAAGAGATAGGTCTGTAATTCTTAACTTGGGTTAGATCCGAGTCTTGCTTTGGAATTATTGTGATAAATGCCTCCTTCCATGTGTCTGGGATATCTCTGTCTAGAAATGTTATCCTGGATTGAGTTAATTGTGAGTTGCGCTACCATAAAGGGGTAGGCAACTTGATTCGTTGTTTATTAGTGATGGGGAGTGCACACGCGCATCGCACCAGACCTGTAAATGTCACAAAAAGGGGTGGGGTGGGGGAAGAACAGGTTGCCTGCAGACTTTTAAAATGGTGTTTCAAATATACAAGATTTCACTTAAATGCATGGTGCCTTGGAACGTAACCCCTGAGTAAATTGGGAGTTGCCTGTATAGTTTTCCTGTCTCAAATAACCACAAGTGAGTGGGCTTACATAGTTCAGCAAGAGACCATGTTACAGTGGTACCTCGGGTTACAGACACTTCAGGTTACAGATGCTTCAGGATACAGACTCTGCTAACCCAGAAATAGTACCTCGGGTTAAGAACTTTGCTTCAGGATGAGAACAGAAATCGCTCGGTGGCGCGGGGTCAGCAGAACGCCCCATTAACTAAAGTGGTACCTCAGGTTAAGAACAGTTTCAGGTTAAGAATGGACCTCCGGAACGAATTAAGTACTTAACCCGAGGAACCACTGTACAGAACATGTCAGTAGCCTGATACTTGGTGCAGCAGAAACAGAAGGTCTGCAGTCAGGAAGAGCAGCGCCATTAACTACAAACCTCCAGATCTAGTCAATACTTGCAAGTGTGTATTGACATATCAAATCAGGGTTCATAGTTAATGTCTCCCATTCAAGCCAGTCTTCTCAGATCTCTTCCTAATCTGTACCATCACCATCTTTTATTTTTAATGTTTTTAATGATCAGGGAAGATATTTATAGGGGATCTTTTCTTCAAGGGCCAAAATGAATTGAACAGCTTTCAATATCATGCCCTTTGATTGGGGTGGGAAGCTTTGCTGCTCCACCTAAGGCAACTAATTTCACAGGCGCGCTACATGGCGTAGTCAGGATTTATTTTAGGAGGGGACGGGCATTATGTTAGGGGGAGCAGAACTGAGTTATCTGCAATGCAGTTGGTCAGTTAGTTAAGTCTTTTTATTTATTTACTTGATGGGGGGCAGCTGCGCCCCCTGGCTATGCCCATGGTGTGCTACCTGTTTTCAGATTGGCCCATTCAAGGAAAGATCACATTTTAAACACTTCAAAATTAACACCTGACTGATGATTTTGTGTGGGGAGGGATTAGCTGTGAACCCAATTTTGATGTACCAATACCCACTTTTAGATGGCAGCACCAAAACCAGGGGAAGTGGCGGAAGACAACAGAAAAAGAGAGAGGCATATGTTCTGTGGGGGATTTGATGTGGGAATGTGTATGCTTAATGGAGCTAGAAACAATCATATAGAATTGCTACAGTAAACAACCACTTTGTGAATAATGAAGCGAAAATGAAAGTGCAGGTTGTTGAGGAAAGAAACTCTTACAGTTTTTCATTTGGAAATAGCATCGCTGTTGGAGGACTGAGTACTCAGATCAAGAACTGCAGAAGCTTTTGAGGAGGGGTGCGTGCACAGAGGAAATATAGCATGATATATAACTGCCAAATTGGAAGGAAAGATTTTTTTAAAGAAAAAAGAGAAGCATACCAAGAAATGTAAATAATTCATGGCATCCAGCTGGGTTTGAAAGAAAGATCTGAGCGTTTTTGAATCTCATTCTTTCCATAGAAAGAATGAAAGGTTTGTTGTAAATTGTGAGTATCATTGATTTGGATGTAATAAAGCAAGTATTGCAGTGTGTGAATAATGCTGCTGGCTGCGGCTGACCTTGAATATTAGCCATTATCATACTCATCGTGGCTCCAAGGTACCCATTTTGATATTCATGCTCTGAGCACTCCCCCCCCCCCAAAGGTACCCCTTTGATCACACTATTCTAAACATGTGTAAGGTTGTGTGGAAAAGGATTGTGCTGCTAAAAAGACAACAAGGAGTCTTGTGGTACCTTAAAGATTAACAAATGTATTAAGGCGTGAGCTTTCCTAGACTAGAGAGTCCACTTCATCAGACACACCAACTATTATCCTGAGTTACAGGTATGCACATTTACTTTATTTATTTGAGAAAACTGGAATGCGGGTGGCTCTGTGGGTTAAACCACAGAGCCTAGGACTTGCTGATCAGAAGGTCGGCGGTTCAAATCCCCGCGACAGGGTGAGTTCCCATTGCTTGGTCCCTGCTCCTGCCAACCTAGCAGTTCGAAAGCACATCAAAGTGCAAGTAGATAAATAGGTACCGCTCTGGCAGGAAGGTAAACGGCGTTTCCGTGTGCTGCTCTGGTTCGCCAGAAGCAGCTTAGTCATGCTGGCCACATGACCCAGAAGCTGTACACCGGCTCCCTCGGCCAGTAAAGCGAGATGAGAGCTGCAACTCCAGAGTCAGGTCACGACTGGACCTAATGGTCAGGGGTCCCTTTACCTTTAATTATAAATATTATAAATTATAAATATAAGCATCAACACTAAGCCCCTATAACAAAATCCAAAACATCCACAGAAACTCAAAGGCAAAGACATCAACAGAAAAGAGAGCAATCAGGTAAAGCCTTTTTAGACAGCCACATTGCTGCCAGCCTAAAACTGAAGAAGATAAAGAGTATAATGGGAAATAGGGTCTGGGGTGGGAGTAAGGATGTAGCTGGGCTTAGTGTAAAGGACAATAAGTTTGTTTGTTTATTTAAATACTTTCATGCTTCCTGTTGTCTGGGCATTCCAAAGCAGTGTACTGGATATGGAATGGAAGAAAGGAGGGACACTGCCATAGCCTGAATGGTTATTTTCCATTTCATGCATGTGAGCAAGTTTTTATTTCACTTTATTTTGCACCAGCCTGTATCTGAAAGTAACCCAGAACATACTGAAATATGCGTTTGTTCTGAACTTCTTAGGGAGATGCCATGACAAGAAAGTTTAATTCCAAGAAGAGGCTTGGGCGGGGGGGAACTGGGAGAATGGTACCTTGTGACAACTTTCCCCAGTTTTAAAAAGTGTCCCTCAAAGCCTGGGGGGCCAGCTCCTAGGGGCCAAGCCTTTTTGGCCTTCCTATATATTTTTTTGGCAGAGGCCGGCCCCTGATGTCCCAAAAGAGTGGAGCCAAAGCTCTGAGTGTGGCATGCCTCCAATGGCTGGTTCTTCTCCTCCTCCTGCCACGGAGTGGAAGGAGGGTCAAAGCAGCCTCCTGGTGGTGGTGGCGCCAAGAGGAGAGGAGGAGGAGCTCTTGGCCATTGAGATGTGCAGTCATGTACCCTGGTACCTCGGGTTAAGAACTTAATTCGTTCTGGAGGTCTGTTCTTAACCTGAAATTGTTCTTAACCTGAGGTACCACTTTAGCTAATGGGGCCTGCTGCCGCCGCTGCACCACCACTGCCCGATTTCTGTTGTCATCCTGAAGCAAAGTTCTTAACCTGAGGTAATATTTCTGGGTTAGCGGAGTCTGTAACCTGAAGCATATGTAACTTGAAGCGTATGTAACCCGAGGTACCACTGTATTTGACTCTGATCTTGGCTCCTCCTGGGATGTCCTGTCCAGGACATTGCGACATCATACGCACAAGGTCGGGACATAACGCATCCATTGTCTGACACAGACACACACACACCCCAATCGCCCTCACAAGCTGGCACCTCTTCTCAAAGCAGAGTTTAAATATCTGATTTCCTCTGGGGAGTTCCTGTACACAAGTTCTTGTTTTTAGTTTCGAACTTTGGTAGTCAAATTTGAAATTTCATAGGATGCTTATGAAGAGGAATGAGATGCCTTTTTGTGCACTCTAAACATGTTGCAGAAATGATGACAATGATGATAATAATAATAGATGCTAGCAATGCTGCTGTGTCTGAGGCTATTCTTTGGAAGTTAGCAGGAGTGATCCCTTTAAAGGCAAAGCTTCCATAGCATTAAATCAAAGCTGCTTGTGAAAATAAAGAAAATCCATTTAATGCAAAGGCAAACCTAAATAAGATCAAGTAGGCAAGTGCCACTGGCACTTTCAAATTACAATCAAATCAGCGAGAGCTGTTAAACCAACAGAGGGGAAACAAACAAGTTGCTTTGCCCTACTTTTCCTTGTTAGACATCTAAGAAAGGTCACCGTGAGAAGATTCTCTATAGAATTTTCATGCATAAAGATATCCCCCTCTTAAGGCATTACTTTGTTGGACAGTTTGGCAATGTTATCTCAAGAGGTGGCTAAACCTGTGCCCCAAAAATGGGTGAAATCACACCAAAAGTGACACTTAAGTCTGCCATCTTGATTCAAAATGGTGGGTGGAGTTCAAACATTGACAATGACCACTGCTCCCACCTTGGAAAACCTTGTGTCAAATATGGCGCTATCTCAAGAAGCATCTGAACCTATAGAGAACAAATGGACAAGTGAACAAACCACTTTCCAAAATACATAGTGGATCAAGTAAGCTATCGATCAAAATACGTATAGACATAAGTAAACATAAGAAAGCTAGCTTGGTAAATTTGAGATAAATCCTAAAACTTCTCCTAAAACTTACAACTTTGTTATGAATCATGTTATGTATAGCACATATAATGTTTTTTAAAATATGTGATGGGTTACTTTGCTGCTGCTACCCAATTCAGTCCATTATGTTTCAGCAAGAATACTTTATTGGAGTTTTCATCAGTTCCATTCACCTGCATTTTTATTATCTGGGGTCAGAGAGCTCTCTGCATTACTGGAAGCTCTCTGCTCGCCTGACAAAGGTGTGGATGTGAATGTGCTGCCTCTGCATCGTTTTGTTCCGGAAAGGGTGGTGATCTTGGGTTGCTAGGAGGCCGCATCCATTGTGTGACTATATGGCAGCCTGCTGTTATTACCATCCATAGTTCCTTTTTTGTTCTCATTTCTTATACAGTACATTACAGCGTGCTTTGTGCCTCTTAGTGCAAAGCCTGTCATTATTCTTTCTGTGCCACTATCTTATCCGCCTTGCATCTCTGAATGTTATTACCGTTCTGCCATTTTAGTTCAGTCATCTTTTTACCACTATCCTCATAAAAAATGTTAGACTCCCTCTCTTAAACTACTTTTTCATTAATGCTGTGTGTTGAAGGCAAAGGCAGAAACGTTGGGTGTCAGTCACAGTGGATGCACAGAATCTGCTAGCTCAAAATATGGTGGCCAAGTGAAATCTGCAACAAAACGCCATAGTGTGGAGTGGTCCCATTCTGTGACATTTCCTTTCCCTCTGTGCAGCTATTGGTCAGCATTGCACAACCACTGAGCATGCTCAGTCTTCATTGGGCAGTTGCTGTTGTTCCCCATCCTTATGTCTTTCCCCTCCCCAACCACTTTTTTTGTACTTCTGCAAATCTCAGGGTTCCCTCAAGCCAGCCGATACCTTTCCCTCAGGGTCCAACTTTTGACACACACAACCCAGCCCTTGACAGGGTCCTAGAGTCCTCCCATCTCCTTCCCAAAGCTGGGAAAGCACCAACTAGGCTTTGGGAAGGAGGTGGGAGGACTCTAGGACCCTCTCAAGTCGTCACACCTCTTTCCCAAAGCCCAGTGCATTGCTTACCTGGATTTGGGGCGGCAGCACGAGGGCTGGAGGGGGGACATCAAATGTTGTCAAGGGCCACCGAAAAAGGCATCCCTAGGGCTGCGTGTTGAACTGCTTTGCCTTTCTTATGTGTGCTACTGTTTTGGCTGTATAACTGATGATACAGCCTGAGTGCCAGAAATGGAGGGAACTATGCTTTTACAAGGGAATTCCACAAATTCCTAGATAATAGGTTGAGTGGCAGCTGTAAGCTACAATAGCTAAGTGAAAACTGTGTATTAATCTTACCCTTGATGGTGGAAGCAGAGAAGATGAGATGATCATTACTTCCATCCCCTGCTGGTCAGCTTTCAAGGCTGGCTGCTGATGGAAACTGAATGCAGGGCTTAATGGGTTTTTGCTCCAAACTAGCAAGGCTACTTATTTACTGGTAGCCAATAAATCTTGTCCAGTATGTCACCTGGGTAGTTCCCAAAACAAGTCACTTGGGGTGTGTATTTGTTTCAGAATGAAGGGGTGGGATCAAATGGGAACCATTTAGGAACTAAGATGCTTACAGAAATGGACTTTTGGACTTGATGTTTATTTTTACCTTTAAGGAAGTCTGCAGTGCTGTGGTATCTCTTTTGCACCTCATGTATCTATGAAACATTATCTGCTGGAATGAAAATAATTGTTCCTCTTCAATCCACAAAATTTAGTTTCTATTGAGGAGCCACTCATCATAAGAAGTTGTCACTTCCCTGCAGTCTTCCTGGTGTGTTCTCTCAGCAGACTGGCAAGCCATCTTGGTCTTGAGTCTTGACCATTAATGAAATACAACCTGGTGCCCTGAGCACTTTCAGGTGAAGCCTTCCTTGACTTTAGACTCAGGTATGCTTGGTGTAAGGGACGCGGGTGGCGCTGTGGTCTAAACCACAGAGCCTAGGGCTTGCCGATCAGAAGGTTGGTGGTTCGAATCCCTGCAACAGGGTGAGCTCCCGTTGCTCAGTCCCTGCTCCTGTCAACCTAGAAGTTCGAAAGCATGTCAAAGTGCAAGTAGATAAATACCGTATTTTTCGCACCATAGGGCGCACTGGACCATAGGGCGCACCTAGTTTTGGGAGGCAGAAAACAAGAAAAAATTATTCTGAACCCCAGAAGCCAGAACAGCAAGAGGGATCTGGTTTCTGGGATACCGCGTGGCTGTTCTGGCTTCTGGGGTAACCGGGCCAAGCCTCCTCAGGGCAGCGGGATGAAGGCTCCCCCTGCCCAAAGAGGCTGCGCAGGGCTAAAGCAGAAGCCAGGGCAGACTTCTCTCTCTCTGTGCAGCGCTCCTCCTTCACAGGAAAGGTGCTGCGCAGAGAGGGAGAAGGCGCAGCGCCCTTCAGCGAAGCTGGAGAAGGAACAGAAGAAGACCCTTCTGTTCCTCCTCCGGCTTCGCATGACAGGCGCGTTGCTCAAGGGGGGCTGCTCCTTCTCTCTCTCTGCGCAGCGCCTCTCCTTCACAGGAGAGGTGCTGCACAGAGAGGGAGAAGGCGCAGCGCCCTTCAGCGAAGCTGGAGAAGGAACAGAAGGAGACCCTTCTGTTCCTCCTCCGGCTTCCAGGACAGGCGCGTCGCCGCGAAGCCAAGGAGCCTGCATTCGCTCCATAGGACGCACACACATTTCCCCTTCATTTTTGGAGGGGAAAAAGTGCGTCCTATAGAGCGAAAAATACGGTAGGTACCGCTCCGGTGGGAAGGCAAATGGTGTTTCCATGAGCTGCTCTGGTTCGTCAGAAGCGGCTTAGTCATGCTGGCCACATGACCCAGAAGCTGTACGCCGGCTCCCTCGGCCAATAAAGCGAGATGAGCGCCGCAACCCCAGAGTCATCTGCGACTGGACCTAATGGTCAGGGGTCCCTTTACCCTTTACCTTTATGCTTGGTATGCATCTGTGTATATTTGCGTCAAGCCCTTAAAAAAACCCCAAAGCAAAACAAAGCAACATTGTTTTCTCACTGAAGTGGTAGACATGTGTCTGGGCTGTACTCAGTCAGGCTGTGTAAGGTGAAGCCCATGTGACTGAGTGCTCATCCATACAAATATAATACATATTTCTCTGTCTGTCTGTCTTTCTGTCTGTCTGTCTGTCTGTCTGTCTCTCTCTCTCTCTCTCTCTCTCTCTCTCTCTCTCTCTCTGTGTGTGTGTGTGTATGTGTACATATTCTTGCACAAAATAAGCTAACAGCCTTCTCCCTTGATAGCTAGCCTTGTATGGAGAAGCATCCAATCATGTTGAGATTAGACTGGATGATCTTTGGGGTCCCTTCCAACTCTACAATTCTATGATTCCATGTCAGCCCTCTATCTACAGCTAGGAGTAGTACAGCTGGGGTGTGTGGCAGGGGGAATGTCAAGTTTGGATTCACTCAGTTTCTCTTTTTTCCAATCTTAGTTTATTTCTCCATATTTCCACATTAGTTTGAATTTTTTAAAATAAAAATAAAAAGGGTACTCAAGAAAATGCACCAGAATTTTAGTGTGAATTTCTCCTAATATACACATTTTGGTACACAACTTCTCATATGCTTTGCATTTTTGCAATGCAACTTCACCTAATGTAATGTGTTTTTTTGTATGTTGTAGTTTGCCAATATATGCATTTACATGCACACTTGACCCTAGCATATGCATTTTTGTGCACGTGTCTTAGCTGGCGAACTGCATTGCAAAATTTGGAGACTTGCGCATTTCAAACAGTGACTGTGGTTCAGTGCTTATTTTGTTTTGGAAAGGCTGATTTTGGTAAGTTTGCCCTTGAACCTGAACTGAATTGAGTTTCTCTCCCATCCCTAGGTTCAGCCCAGGAACAGGTTTATCACTTCGGTGAGAGTAAAGTGGAAGAGAGGGTATGATAGTCTGCCATCTCAATTGACAGGCTTCTCTTGGATTATGATGTCACTGAGGCAGCCTGTCACTCATCGACACTTAGCACTGTGCCTTGATAATGGCTTTGGGTAGCTGTAAATCTATCTCCTTACTCCTGTAAAGGACTATTGTGTTATCTCTTTCACTGAGTGTATTTATAGGGGCTTAAAGAAATAGAAAACACACACACTGCAAGTGATTGGCCTGGGGCTATCTTGGCACTTCGGAGAGCAAAAGAACATTCGCTCATCTTGTGGCCACTACAAGATGTGTTTGCTTTTGCCTTTTGACAAATATGTGTCAGTTAAAGTCCGAAAAGGGAGAATCACTTAATGGTGTGGGCAGCTTAGGTAACAGTGGCTGCTGATGTCTCAGACACTTTCTGGAGCCTGGTAGCATTTGAAAAGAGACCCAAAATGAGGGAGGTTGCTGGTCTTTCTTTTGGAGATCAACCTAGATTATTCAGTTTCTTTAAAACTGATATAATAAAGTGTTGGACTGACATTCTGCAGCAGCAAACCAGGTTTCCGACCATGTAGACTGGCCACCAACGCGCACAGCTTTAAAGGGAGATTAGGCAAATTCATGGCAGATAAGGCTATCTCTGGCTACAACCTGCAGTGTAAGAGGCAGCTTTTATCTGAATGTTAGTTGCTCGGGATCATGACAGAGAGTGCTCTCTTCACAGGTGGCCCATCCCATTTTGCCACCTGAGGCAAAACAGGAATTGCCACTTCCTGCCCCCACCATACCCCCCACTTCTGCCAGCATCCCCATCCCCACCATGCCCTGTTCTCACCAAACTAAGTTGGAGCCAGTGTGCTCCTCAAAATGTTGCCACTTGTCTTCTCCCCACCAGGGTGGCGGGAGGGGATGACAGAATACCCACTGTCACGACAGGAAGCAGCAGGGCAAGCACTTTTGCTACCCGAGGCAAGCACTTCAACCTGCCTAATAGGCGGGCCGGCTCTGGCTGTTTGGCTCCTCCCATTTATCACTGTGAGAACAGGGCACAGGACGCGGTGGGCGTTTGGCCTGAGCACAAGACTATTGCATTCATGTCCTGCTTGTTGTCTTCCCATAGCTATCTGGTTAGCTACTGGGGGAACAGAATGCTGGACTAGATGGGCCTTTAGTCTGATCCAAGTGGGATCTTCTAACTTTTGTATGATCAACATTGTGGCGGTCCTTTAAAAAAAGCTGTCTGTTACCACAGGGAGAAGTAGCTGCGCTGGATTTTAATTCCATTTTACCAGATCTATTCTAAGCAATCTGAATCCTGAAAAAGAACTGTTGCTTCACTGAGAAGCAAATTAACTGTTCCTTCTCATAACTAGGTGACCTGCATATTAAGATTCTATTGGGGTTTAAAGGACTAGTCACTACTTCAAGCATTCTGGTATTTATACCACTGCTTTGTTTTTGCTTCAAACACTCTGTACGGATCAGAAATCTTTTCCTTTCCTTCCAGTGTCCAGGCTGTGAGTGCCATTGTTCATGTAGATAAAAAAAAAACAAAAAACCACACACACTTATAATTGAACTCACTGTCCTTTCACACAAATGTCCACACCTGGCTACCTAAAGCCTTTTTCATTTCCGCAGACTATATATATATATATATATTTAGGAAAGTAATTTTGTTGTTGCTATTGTTAAACAACTGAGAGTCAGAAATCCTGGCCAGTCTACTGCAAATCCACCCAGAGATCCAATCATAGATCTATCTTCTGCCCACTCCTTCACCAAAGTACCTTTTCTGTCCTTGTTAACGAGGAATATTTTTAATTAAAAATAAAAAGACAGCATGGGAGCTTGCTTGCCTGTAGCATTCACACAGCTTCACTAATTTTGAAAAATTCAGAATAGAGTTTTGCCACTTTAGAGATAATCCATGAAAGCTCTTTTCCTGTAGATGGCAATAAATCATGCCCTCCACTAAAAGCTTGGATGTCACTGGAAATTTATTGCACAGAGCTGGTAGTGGACTTAAAAGCCATTTCACATGTCTTATTACTTCAGTCATCTAATTTATGAGTTTCAGCCACCATTGTAGTTGGAAAAGTGTTTTCCTTCATCTGGATAATATGATCTCTGCAT